CAGATTCCAAGTCATGAAAGGAAATATACCTTAAAAGTTTGATCAAATACTATATTCTGAGCATCAAACATAAGTCTCCCACTACCAAACCCAGATAGGAAAAAAGAAAAGACATAGGTCTAGATTCCTGCCTATTATAACTGAACAAAGGCAGAGAAAATTAATTCAGTTGTGTGAAAAAGCAAGTGTAATAAAGTAATTGTTGATGCATATGAATTACGCAAGTTAAACAGATATGGTTAATTACATTGAAAAGCTTTTGCAAAGACCATGCCTTAAACTAGATAAGAAATTCATCTTTCTTTAGTGAAGAGGTGTTTTCAGTCTGTACAGAAGAGTTTGCTTTTTGGGAATTATCTCTAAAAATTGTGATTAATCATTTGGTGTTCAGGAAGTTCCATCCAAGTTTATATTTATATTCATATATCCTTATGCTTGTAAATATAGCTATCTGTGCATATCTATCTACCTAGATATATGTGTGAGTTACAATGAATTATAAGCTTATTTCTTCATCCAGTCTTGTATCCATTCATGTTGCCCTAAAGCATTTCCACTAATAGTGAAATTTCCTTCTTCAACCCTTCATGTAGGGATCAGCTCCTGATTTGATTTCAACTAACCTAATGCATGTTGGATTTGAAGCAAGTTGTGCCCTTTGGTTGGCTTTTTGCATCATGATCAACATTCTAAGAATCTTTCCAGATCTTCAGTGAAGTGTTATTGAGTTTCTGCATGTCTACTCAGCCAGCATCCAGCTAAAAGACCAGATACACCCCAGCCAGCACAAGGACCCATGAGAACAAAGTGCTCATCACGTGCCATGGAAAACCATTGGTTAGCACATAGCAGCTGACCAATGAAGACACTTCAGTCCATTTACACTTGCAACACATTTCTTTATGTCTTGATGAATTACTGTACATTCTTAAAATTTAAACTAACATAATTAATACTGTATGATATTCCTTATTAATATAATTTCTTTATTAATAAATAGAGCAGTGTATAATATTTGTATATACTTGGATCAGGGAGAATCTCTAGCAAGAAAATGAAAATGTAAGTCACAGAAAGCAAGAGAAACTTTAAGCCATGAGATGAAAAAATTCAGGTAAATGCTTACAATTTTCTTAGGTTAGAGTACATTAATATATGTGTAATACACATTAAAATACACTTAAAATGAAAATCATGAAATATATGTGTAATATGTAACTACAAGTGTAAATTTAATGTACTATTAATTTAGCAATATAGTGATATTCTATTCAGGTAAGTTTCAGACAACAATGGTCTGCCTATTGAATATGATGATGATCCCACAAAACTTAATTAAAACTGGATAATTAAGCCATCATAACAATGTATTACAATACATCATTCCAGTATTTGTGATTATGCTAGTGGGAATAAGCCTACTGCCCTGGCAGTGGTATACGTACACTGTCTAATGTATAGTGCCTAATATTTGATAATAAAGATTGTTACTGGTTTATGTATTCTTAGTCTTTTGCATTATTTTAGAGTGCAATCCCTCTACTCATAAAAAGTGTTCTCTGTAAAACACCGTGTCTCATCACATCAGCAGAAGCCTCCATAGATCCTGTGTTGAGTCTCTTTGTTGCATCAAGAGACCAAGTGGAGTGACTGACTTTATCTTTGCGGATTGTGCAGAACACTCTATGATGTTCACTCAAGAATGAAACCACCTAAGTACGCCCTAACCAAAATGTATCACATCACTAAGCAATGTAGCTACAGGTAACAACAAATCAATGAAAATCAGCAAATATTTGAGCAATTCATATAAAAGAAAGAAAATACAGTAAAAAGCATGAAAGTGTGACTAGATCTCAGTAGTATATGCACATGTCTTATTTTCAAAGATGCTATTGGAATTAATAAAAAGCAAATAATATTAACAGCATTTTTAAGGCAATTTTGTGGGGAATTGGGCTATTTGGACTGAGAATTATTGCAAACCTTCTGGAAATGTGATGACACAATTAAGGAAAATGAAAGCACATCATACTACCTTTCTTCCACATAATTATTCTTACTGATATGTAAGTATGTTCATGTCATATATAAGTATATAGAAATATACATATATACATAAATTTATAGCACAGTAATGAAACATGAAGAAAGGCTAATGTTCATTGGTAGAACACGAAGTAATTTATGGTTAAAATTACATTACCTTTTGTAAGAACTTAAACAGAACAAGATCAGAAGACTCATATAATTTGATATTATTCCTCTTATATATTATTAAGTATTTTTCCCTCTACTTACCCAAATAAAATTTTATTTTTAATGTCCTTATCTATAATTATACTAATATTTTATTTTCTGATCTCATATTCATGCACATAATTATTACCTGATGTTGGGTGTTTACCATATATTCATATCTTTATTTTTTCACTGTACCATTCATCTTTTGACCCAGTGAATTCTGAGAAGAGCTTCTGGAGTTTATTCTTCATACCACTAACTTAATTTGGGGGATGATGGTTAGTTTCACATCTTACTGCTTATAACACAGATTCTATTACTATAATGACATGTTTTTTCTTTGGAATTTTATAATTTGAGTAAGCCTCCTTTTATCTTCACATGCAACATAAATATGTATTCTCTCACTTTCATCTTTTTGTTGATCAAGCACATTTTAACAACTGTAACAAATGCTAACCTGATGCTCTAATATTTACTTGACTCATGTACTATTATTAAAATCATGATTTCTCACTGCATTGCTTTTTTCAGAATTGTATGTGGGTTCAGGTCAAGGTGTTCATTTCATTATTTTTGTTTTCTATAACAGATTATTTTTAAAACATAGAGTTTATAGGTAGATTACATTGGAAGGCTGTGTAGTTTTGGTTAAGAATATACAGAATAAAAGCAATGGAATTCTTTACAGGAATTTTACAAATTTTGCTGTATTCAATCTCTGGATTTGAAAACCATACACCTAACTTTCAATGGAACACAGCTACATTTCTAATATAATACCAATATTTTGACTTAGAAGTAGGCATTCAAAATATGATTTCTTGAGATAGTATGTGGAAGTCATGTATCTACTTTTTATTTTATATGATGCTTTCCTGTAGTTAGAAAAGTGAGGTTTTCAGAGGTGTTTGTGATGTTTTTCTTTTTTTTTTCTTTTTTTTTTTTGGAAACATCAATTGAAAAGACTTTATTTCAACATAAAAGATTTGGAGAAGTCTGGTAGTAGTTATCCCTGCTCCATGGTCTTGGCAGATATACCTGTCCATTTAAATGGAAGGCTTTAAGGTTTTACCTAAGGTAGATTCCCCAAGAGTTAATTTCAGTTGGACTGACAGTTGATAATTTAAAACATCAATGAGTCTTAATGTTTAGCATAAAAGAAAGGGCTTAGATCTAAACTAGGCAATGTGTAAGTCTTTTCTTACCCTAGAGTCCAAAAGTTTTCTGTCTCGTGGGCATGACATGGCACTATACATCACCCTATAACAGGGCACACAAAGTGTTCCCAACTGAGTCACACTGAGTCACACCGGGCTTGCCTGCACACCTGTGAGATGAAAGATGATCCATACGATGTCATTGCCCTAACGTTCAAATCTCCACCAAGTTCAGGGCCAACCAATGGCTGTGCCCCTCATCCTCTTCTACTCCACCCAGACCTACGGACACAGAGAGCTCAGCCTTGGTGAACAGGAAATACACCTGCTTCCAGGGATCACTGCACTCCAACAACACTGAGATTTATGGTGTGCCACACTGGAACCAGGTTTTTTCCCACCAAATTTTCATTAATGTGTCACTAAGTATAATTCAAAAAATGTAGAAAACACTCTAGATAAAAACAGAATCAGAACGAAAGCTTTAAGAACAGGATCTTCTGAACTACCAAAACAATTCTACCCACACATGGTTTCCCACTAACAGTAGAGCAAGATAATTTCACATAATACCTGTAAAATACATATTAATCCTAGTTCAACATAAAGGTACAGTTTCAGAGACTAAACTACAAACAGTAGGCATAAAATGTAAAAAAAAATTTTACTTCTTTAAAGGAAAAAATATGTAATAAATCTGATAATTTCACTTCTAAGACTTCTCCATCTTGAAAAAACAGTGGTTAAAATCATTTGAACAGCAGAGAAATGATAATGAGTCAACTTAGTCTTATTCAGATCTTAACCAAATTGTTAGATAATGATGGTCAAAGTTTATTATCTCTTCAGTTCTGACCACTGGAACTAAGTGCAAAGTGTTTTTATTATTATTATTGACCTTTGCTGTGGTTACTGCAATTATATAGTACATTGTTAGGCTCAACAAAGGAGTCCTTTTAATGGTTACAGTTAAATTACTGATGGGAATCAACCTGTTTGAATGATAGGCTTGAAACAAGATAAACAGAAGCCAGTCAAGGCCTATCACAAATAAACCTCTTTCCTGAGGAAAAAATGCTCTATAAATATTTCTTTATATTTAATATTACCAGTTTCTTCAAAAATAAATACTGACGGCACCTTTCAAAACTGACGTTTTCATACCTCCTCATTTTTGGCAGAATCAATGACTGATGCTACTTTAATTTTTTCTACAAAAAACAAACGGCCTCATTGTATGAAGCCAGATTTAAAAACTGCCGTCAAATTGTCTCTTTATCACAGTCACGCTGGAGGAAGAGGCAGCCTTGAACAGGGAAAGCTCAAGTCAGCTGTTCACAGTAGGGACACCCTACTCTTTTGAGTCAGGACAAGCAAAATGATGGAGGGAAGCATTCATAATAGATTTAACCAGTAAGCCTAGAAATTCCACAGGGTGGCAAGTCACCCATGCCTTAACAGTGCGTCGTTGGGGAAATATGGAGGTCACATTCTTTAAAATAAAGGGGGGGGATAATTTAAATTATAAAGCTGTCACGACTGTAAAACATGGACACACTGTTACACATCGGTATAACAAAGGAACCTGGGAAGTTGTCATATACTTTCACTACGTCCTGCAGCCACATTTTCCTTGTCTTCCGTCGACCTCTCTACATCATAATCACCTCCAAACTTTCGCGTACAATCGTTTTTTGCTTCATCCTCAGCAGAGCCCGGCACTCTGGAGGTGGAACCTTCTTCCTGCATACTGTTTATGCCAACCACTCCTCTCACTACCCTACTGCTTCCCTTCTTAGGCATTAAACGGCCAGGGTGTCCTTTCGGATGAGTGGAGCTGTCCACGGTGTAAGGCCGGCTGCTTCCCTCTGGGCAGGCAGTGTCCCTCTGCTGAGGGCCAGACTGGCTACCAAGCACTGGGTTTTCTTCAGCTGCAGATGTTTCTCCAAAAGCCATGCTAGCAGATGTTGTATTGCCTTTGTCGTTTGTGGGTTTCTGAAGACTGAAGCTAGGTTTTGCTGTTAAATCGGTAATGTTGACTGTTGAGGGTTTTTCCCCAATACAGGAAAAGTCAGCCATTCCTAGTATGCTTGTTCTTTCCCTTTTAGAGAGACTTCCACAGCCGAAGTGAGGAGGAAGAAGCCTGGGACTCCTTTCCTTAAGGTTGTTAGGTGAAAAGTAGTCCTCATAAGAGGAGCCTCCAGCATGAGGAGCCTCCAGCATCAGGACACTCCAGAGCACCTGTGGCCATGGTTGGCAGGTGGCGCTCCAACTTGAACAGCTGCAGGTGCTGCGTGGCAGCCCTGCTGCTGCACCTCCTTCTCTTCAGTTTTTGTCGTAGAGGTAAATGTATGTCCACTGCCACTTTTTTTCTCTTTGCTAAGGAACTTTTGGGCCTTGAATGAACTAAAAGGAGGTCTTTTGTTGTAGATATGGTAGGAGACAAAATGCATTTTCCTAGCATCGCCTTAGACACACCTTCGGCTTGTGTTTGGCCTGGGGCCACTGTTTCACCTGTAATATCTCTCTCCTGACTTATTTCTTCCTTTGAAAAACTGCTCATGGGTTTCTGAGGACTGGATTGATTGAGGTCACTGGATGATACTGACAAGTGGATATTTGTCATCAACACAGGTGAGGAGGTGCATGCATCACTTCTAATTTCTTTAACAGATCCTCCCCATTTCCTTTCCTGATTTCCACATTCTGATTTTCCACACAGACCATCAAAAGATGAGTGTAAACCACCAGCAAAGGACTCATCTGAACACAAAGGATTCTGTGAAATGTTCAAAGATGCTTCACACAGAGAGGTATCTGGGTTCTCCTGAGATTGCTCAGTCATCTGGGAAGAGGTAGGGGAAAGATTTTCCCTCTTCTCTTTCATCTCTTGTAATCCCTTCCCCATGGCACTGTGGTGACTGCTAATTTTATTTGTGGGGCTGTACATCAGTGAGCCACAGGATTCAAACAAGAGGACAGAGACATCGTCCTCTAGAGTTGTCTTTTGCCTTTGTAGCTCTTCAGATATCTTTTCAAATTTCTTTTGAAGTCTTCTATCATTTGCTGGTGTTTTGGAATAAAATCTTTGGGATGCATACACTTACACTTTTTTCTCACCAGGCTTGGTAAGCGCTCATTGGTACTGGCCGCGGGGAACAAGGACTCATCGATGTGTGCTCCGGCTGTCCTGCATTTCTCAACCCAGAGCACAGAAACAAGCTTGGCCCCTATATCTTCTGGGTCTTGTCCCAAGTGCTCTGATAGCCGTCCTTGAAAACCACGAGTACTTGTTTGTTGAAAGTCTTTGAGACCTTTGCCCTCATATCCACAAGTTGGTTTGTAAATGTCTTTGAGTAATTTTCTGTCCCCGTGGAAGACCACACTTCTACATAGGCCACTACATCTTTTCGGATGGCACCCCCCTCCCCCCACCCCCGCAGCTCCGGGAGCGGCCATGACGCGCGGCGGATCAGGGTGGTGGGACAGCGCGAGAGGAGCATGAAGGGGCGGGCCTTGTGATGTTTTTCTAGCATTTTATGTCAGCTGTTGGTAGCAGCACTCTGGAATGGTGTGATCTAATGTTGTCTAGTACCATTTTCTAAACACACAGAACTTCCTAATAATAATGGCCACAAACCCAGATTTTAATTAGTCTGTAGTGCAAAATATAAATCTATCATCAAATGTTTATGGTTTATCCTTTTAAAAATAGCTCATTATGCTATCAAGTTTTAGAACACATAGAACATAACCATTTACTGACAGTTTTTTGCACAGGAATCACTTCAAAACACATTTTGAGGTGTATAAAATATTTGCAGGACAGAGGTTTCTGAAATTATTTGGTTACTAAAGTTTATTTAATACTATGGTAAACATCACTTTCTTATAGTTTTATTTAGAATACGTTTCAATAATTGTGCTAAAACAATTGCATAAATTTTGATGACAGACATCCGTGTCAATTCAGGGCACCACCACATATTTATCCTGCCTTCACTCATTTATTGTTACTTCTTAGATTTAAACATATCTTGGTGGGAAAGTAAGGAGTTAGGTGCTCATGGAAGCCAACTCATGAGGAGTGAAGTGTGAAGAAGAAGCAAACCCTAACAAATTATCCAAAAACATTGTCATTCTGAAGCACTAGAAAGAGAATGTGATGCAACAAGATGACATATAAACGGGTATTTCTGACTTCACTTTAGCTGTCAATTTGCCAAACAAATTCACACTCTTTTCTTCTTAACTTTTCTGTTTTCATCTCTTCTTTTCTAGGAGAAGGAAGAAGAATAGGAGAACATTCAGTGAGAGCAATACTTGACAGCACTTGGGAAACCCAAACTAATAAGCATGGTTGCAGCTTCCCTGGAGGATCAGAAGTTTCAGGTTTACACTGTACAAGTCTTTTACCTGTCTGAAAAATGGGAGCTTCCAGGTTACCTATGGTATCAAGATCAGACTCATTTTTGCATATTTTTTGTAGACCTCTAAATGAGTTGCAAAAACTGAACATAGTGACCTTAAAGGAAATTAATCCTACCAATTATTTTATTCATAAATACTGTAGAAGCAGTTGTCCAGAGTATGTAAGTCCTGTGTTACAGGGAAAGCCCATTGTGTGTGTGTGTGTGTGTGTGTGTAGTTCTAGCCATTGATCCCAAGCCTCCTACATACTAACATGTACTCTACCACTGAGCTAAATCCCCAGTCCCATTTTATCTTTAATTAATCAGCATATATTAAATTATATCCTGCATTTCCATTATTTCCAACCACTTAACATTTCCTATTCCCCACATCTTAGAGATAATGATTCTTCTCCCTCAGTTCAGTAGCCCCACTGATTTGGCTGACATGGACATGCCACCTCCCCTAATTACTGGCAGATTCAACTTTTCAGAAAAGAAATTTCTTTCATCTTTTATTCACTGACATGTATATTTTCCTCTTTAATTTTTGTACTCAGTTAAAACTTCTATTACAGAAAAAGTTCTTTAGTTAAGAGTAAATAGCTATGCTTTACCACCAAAAAACACTACAAACCCAGCAATTACTTGAAGACACTCGATTCTTTAGAGTTCTCTTTCCAGATGATTAAAATTATTATAAGCATGTTAAGATAAATTTGGATTCTTCTATTACTTGAGGAGGGATGAGGGATTCCCAAAGCTTCTGAGTTTCCACACAAATCACAAGATCTTGAGAGATCTCAAAGCATTTCAAGTTGTCTCACAACAAAGAGTCTTATAAGTTGATAGAAGTTTTAACAAGGATTTATTTTGGTATAGCAGGATAAAAGTTGGGAAGAGTAGGGGGGAAAGAGAGAAACATTTCCTGTTCCCCATACAGGAAATGAGAGTAAAAACTCAAAAGGGTGGTTCTTACCTGTAATCTATTTTCTGACCTGAGGGCAAATATGTGGTCAGGTGTAGCAGTTTCTAATCATTAAGACAAATGGATCTAGTGGCTAAGATGGATGCTAAAATATGGAGATGTTATCTAGGTCCACTCAAAACACAGGGACAATAGGTGACTTTTAGTATTTCTCTCTATCAGATATGCATTTCATTCTTCCTATCCCTTTACTGATTCAAGGACCCTTGCAAGTTTTAAACATCTCAAAAAAAAGACAGATTCAGACAGACTCTTTATATCTCCCTATTTTTGTAACTTAACATCTGAAAGGAAGCAGGCGGGGACTAGCTGCTAAGGTTATTTAGTTTTTACCAGCTCTTCCAATGTCTCAGTCTGGCCCTTTTAATTTTATTAAAATAGTGTAATTTCCTATGTCTTCTCCCCCATGTATCTATCCTGCCTCACTTACTCCATTTTTCATTTACTTGGATATTAATCCACCTAATGACAAAAAGAAAGTATTGAATATTTTTATAACCCTCAAAGATTTCTTATCTTAAAAGGGAATAGTATCAGAAACAGAGATGTAGCATAATATAATATATTTCTGTTAGATATATGCTCAAAGATGCATGTAAGCAAAGCATCTAAACATTTATTTATTTATTTATTATTCCAAAGAACGTTTACTAATATATTTTCAAGCTCTCATTTTGAAATAATTTTATATTTGTACAAATACTCTAAGAAATACATGGAGTTCCTGTATAGCTGTTCTCTAGATTTCCAGTGTTGATACTTTACATAACCACAATACTGTTATAATCAGTACAGTACCACTTAGTAAAGGTGATTTGTTGGATTTTATGTAATGAACATCCTTTTATTGTCACAGAATCCAACTATTCATCTTCTAGTTACCATGTCTCCTTTAACCTGTGACAGTTCCTAGTTCTTTCCTTGTCTTTTTTTTAGGTCTACCGTTTGAAATCAGTCTCACACTTGCTCGGAAGGCACTCTTACTGCTTGAGTCACTCTGCCAGCCCATTTTGTGTGTCAGATCTTTAGAGATAGGGTCTCACCAACTATTTCCGCAAGGCTGGTTTTGAACTCTGATCTGTCTTATCTCTGCCTCCTCAGTAGCTAGGATTACAGGTGTGAGCCACCTTCACTCAATTCTTTTGTCTTTTATAAGATTGACACTTTCAAAGAAATTTTATCAGTTATTTTGAATAATATCCCTCAAACTTGGTTTATTAGATGTGTTCCCATGATTATATCAGAGCTGTGTACCTCTGTGTGCTCATATTGGGGGAACATCATACTGCTATGTCTACTGTTCTTGACCTTCTTTACTTAGGTAAGGTGGTAAATACTGGGTATTCCCTACTGTGAAGTGTAAGTAATACCTACCAATAGAGAAATACATAACCTAAGGAAGATAATTTGAGAATATAGAACTATTACATCTCAGCTCAAATTGGTAAATCATTACTCAAATCATTGGTAAAAATTGTGTCTGCTAAAATGAAAATTCTAATATTTTATTGATACTTTTGCACTGTCATCATGCCTTATGAATTTATTAATTGGAATGCTTCTATGAATGAAAACTGTTCCTTTTCCCCACATTTTCATCCTTGTTCAATTACTTGTATCTTTACTTGTTCTTTTGAATTTATTTATTCTATGGGTTATGGAATAAAATAGTCATTATTTACTTAGCTCCTCATAGTCATTATTTACTTAGTTCCTGGTTTTTCTATTGTAAGCTCTTCTACTTTGTTTGCTGTGGCTTATTTTTATTTCCTGTTTTTTTGTTTCTTTTGTTTTTTGACAAAATTATATCATTTTGGGAGAAGTTCCTTGTGTTTCGGTATCACAAGATTTTCTAAGCTCTTGTAATATCCCTACTCCAGTCTTGGAACCAACTATTACAATAAGTCAAAGTTACTTTTATTGAAGAATGTTCTTGTTGCTATTGGATGTCACTCACTTCTTTATGAACTTTCAGTCGACAGTTTCAAAATATGTGACAATATGTCTACTCACCTGTGCCTATCCACATACACACACACACACTCTCTCTCTCTTTCTCTCTCTCTCTCACACAAACACACACCACACCACACCTCACCACACATTTCTGACTCAAATCCAGAATGCCACATTTCATTCTTGCATTCTCCTGTTCTTTATTTCTGATTTCTTTCTCTACTAATGAAATGCCTGGCTCCATTATCTGCAATGAATTTGCTAAATTGTTCAGTCCTAGTAGACACATGAAATGATATCAGAGCATACCCCTGTGAGAAACCAACTTACAAATTAGAGTTCAATATTTGCTTATGGTCTTTAAAGTACAAATTAACAAAGGTTAGGAAAGTGAGTCCATTTTCCCCCTATCACTTTCTTTGAAGTAACTTTTTTCAAAAAAATTAATTCATTTTTATTTAGCTGGGTTGAGATTTACAGTTTATTATTGATTTACTGTTGATTACTATTTGAATTCCATTTCCTCCTCCATGTATCTTTATTGATTGTTTAAATTCACATAAAGTACAATTCAAAGTTTGAGATGTAAATTTTAACAAGTCCAAAGAAGGTTTCATCTATCTTTCTACTCCTTTCTACTTGTTTTCCCTTATAGAACACCTCCACCTCCCTAAATATTCTGTATATTCGCTTACTCTACCCTTCTGTCATCAATTCCCTTCTACCCACGCTCTACCTCTGGAAGCTACTTATCTGTTTTATACCCCTGCAGTTCTACCTTTTTGAAAAGCCACATAAGTAGAATCATGAAAGATTATCTTTTTGGGTCTGGATTTTTCTGGCATTTTTTTTTTTTTGCAGAGTTCTAGGGATGAAATCCAGGGCCTTGTTTATGCTAGGCTAGCACTCTACCCATTAACCATACCCTCAGCCATTGGTCTGACTGTTTCACCAAGCAAAATGCATGTAATATTCAGCTGTACTA